ACATGCGTGTTCTGCACCATCGCCCTGGACTCCCTTGTCCTGGAGAATCCTGCGACTCAGGTGAGTGGATTCATTCGAGGTCATAAGATCAATAGAATATGGAGAAATGTATCCTTCCCATTCTTTTAAAATCAGGAATGCATGCACTTTAAAATCATTTATCATTTTCGAACATCTTTTAATGAATGGTAATACATATTAGGAGAGGGGACAAAACTTTTAATTTGAAAATGAACACAATTTTACCAACAACAGATGGTCATGAGAACTAATCCCTTTAGTTTTGAGGGTCTTAATATGATACGTTTAAGTTGCTCAGTGTTCAAAGTGTAAAATGATAAAGGGCAATTATTGATAAAGCGGAGGTACATCTGGTCTTGTTGGTGAACTGGCTGCATTCTAGTGAAATCTTATTAGCTGCAGGGTCTACTGATTGGGAACTACCCAACACTTGTCTGTTAATCTGCATGCAATCAGATGTAAGTGCTTGTTGACATTTAACTTTCTCCACAAACAACCTTTCCTTCCTCCTGCAGGTTCTTGTCCTGGCTCCTACACGTGAGATAGCGGTGCAGATTCACTCAGTGGTGATGGCTATAGGCTGTGCCGTGGAGGGTCTCGAGTGCCATGTATTTATCGGGGGCAGGCCTGTGAGTCAGGACAAAACCAATCTGAAGAAGTGCCATATAGCTGTGGGCTCGCCCGGTAAGAGGACAATGGATAAATAGAGGGCATTACATGTAGCTGTGAAGCTGTTATTTTTTAAAACGTTGCTTTTGGTTATATACCCAGGTCGAATCAAACAGCTCATCGAGTTGGAAATGTTGTCCACCGCCAGCATCAGACTATTTGTTCTGGATGAGGCAGACAAGCTGCTGGAGGAAGGCAGCTTTCAGGAACAGATAAAGTAAGTAACATCTGACAGGAACCTTTTATAACAAATAAAATAAATTACATAAATCGCATGTTCATTTATAAAACCCACACGCTGGAATTCACCCACCCCCTCTGCTTGTCTCTTCAGCTGGATCTTTTCCTCTCTGCCTGTGAACAAACAGATGCTCGCACTCTCTGCCACCTACCCAGAATCCCTCGCTCAGCACCTGACCCGCTACATGAGAGAGCCTACTTTTGTCAGACTCAATCCCAGTGATCTGGGCCTTAAAGGTAAGACATGCGTCAGCTGTGCTGCTGTCATTATGACCAAACAAAGCTTAGATAAACGTTATTTAATTTAAAGGGTTAAAGCATCTCAAATTACTTGGCCTTTCAGCTGTTTTTAGTTAGCACATTTATCTGTAAAGTGACAGCAATTGCCTGTTGTCCTGGCTAACAGAGGCTTCTCCTAACACCAGTTACAGGATTGTTTGTAATGTGACGTGTGCTTGTAACAAAGTCAGGCCATATGTGTTATGCTTTTTAGGCAATTATGCTTGACTTTATATTCTCCTTCGCATGTTGTCCTTGTGTGCCCCCTGCCAGGCCTGAAGCAGTACTACAAGCTGGTGCAGTCCCATCCTTTACCTCACATGGTTTTCCAGGAAAAGGTGCAGCATTTGCTGGAGCTTTTCAGTAAAATCCCATTCAACCAGGCGCTGGTGTTCTCCAATCTACACACAAGGTATTTTATATAATGCTAAGTATCAGTTACCATAGGTTTTTTTGAATATATTTCTTTCACCCACATATTATTTTCAAAAATAAGATCTGAAAATGTGTTTTCTGAGAATGATGTGGAATGCTCCCACAGGGCTCAGCACCTGGCAGACATCCTGTCCTCCAAAGGCTTACCTGCTGTTTGTATCTCAGGTGAGAGCACACTTTGAGCGGCATTATTGTGTGATGACACGATAAATGTTGTTGAGATCTCTTTGATGTAGAATTTTAATTGATTAATATATGTAGAAAAGTTGATTGCAAACCATCTTTAAGCATTTATTATTTTTAAAAAAAAGGGCTAGTTTTACCTTTTGCAAAAGCAAGGACAAAACAAATTCTGAAAATCTAACTTGATATGTCTTTGTGTGATGGCGTTTACAGGCGGTCTGACTCAGGACCAGAGACTGGAGGCCATGTCCAAACTGAAGCAGTACCAGTGCAGGGTGCTCATCTCCACTGACCTGGTGAGACACACCTGTCCCGTCTGCTGCTTTCTTTCTGTGTTTTTTCCTTCATGTATCTCTTGAGTTTTACAATAAGCTCCTGTTCTTTAATCCTGAATGTTTTCTCTGTTCTGTCCTTCCTGTCAGACTTCCAGAGGTATAGATGCAGAGAAGGTTAACCTGGTGATTAATCTGGACGTGCCGCAGGACTGGGAGACGTATATGCATCGAATTGGACGTGCTGGGCGCTTCGGTTAGTCTCTAATAGTGTTAGTTTAAAGCAGTAATGGGTATTTACAATACACAGCAAGTGATTTTGTGAGACTAAAATAGTTCACATTTTGGTGAAAGCAGTTCAGCAAAAAGTTTCCAGATTTACGCTTTCGCCCACTGACTTGACTCAAAATCTAAGGTCAAAGTTTTGTTTTAGTCTAATAGGTCACAAAACACCAATAATTCAATCTCCACTACTACAGCAAATCTACCGTTTCCTGACAGTAACACTACACGCCTCTTATCTGCCACCTTCTCATTTTGAAATATGTTTAATCCGTTAAATGATCAATGGTAATTAACTGATAATTGATTATCCACTGACATCGCTAACTCAGAGCAACATAACAGCTCAGCATTTTGGAGGATTAGCTTGAGTCTCTGTAGTTAAAAACACTGTGGCCCACCTAGCTAGGTCCAGGTTCCTCATCATCTGCATTTATCATAATTGTGGCTTAACCTGTGTGCTGTCTTAGAAACAGAAGGCAATACAGTTTCTTTTTACACCTGCCGTTCTTGGGCACAGAAATCACTCGCCCTCCTTTATCCCTTCGTAGGATTTGAATGGGTTCTCATCATGGTTTTGTTTGTAGGCACTCAAGGACTGGCTGTGACCTACTGTTGCCATGGTGAGGAGGAGAACAAGATGATGGCCATCGCTCAAAAGTGTGCCCTGACCTTGTCTATGTTGCCATGTAAGTCACATGTCTGTGAAGAGTTCCACTTTCTCCTTTTTAAAACAGAACTTTTAAATTAATGTGATTGAGTGGAACCTAATTAAAGTCTATCTCCTTCACTTTTAGCCACTATAGAGCCTAGTTTGATGGACGAGTCATGTGACTGGGATGTCTGCACTGAAGCTTCTACTCCAGGCCTTTTACCCGTGCCCTCCACCAGGACTGAGAAGAAGAAGCGTACCAAGCAAGTCACTGATGAAGCTATGGAGCACTCAAGCATTCAAAGGAAGCCAGAGAAGACCCATCCAGCACCCAGACCGGGACCCCACAGTGAAGGGAATACAAGAAGAGCACCTCCTCCAGAGGTCTCTCTCCCACAACCCCCTCCTCAGGTGGTGCCCACTCGAAAAGAGCAACAGGATGCTCTGCCGAAGATCCCTCCCCTCAGCTCATTCAAGAAATGTAGGTCAAGGTTTATGACCCTGGAGGAAGCTGATCTGGACTTCCACAGCTTCATCACCACAGGGTTGGGTAGATCAGTGGAGGTCATCAAGGATTTCAGAGGGGGAGAGGATGGTGATGGACATATAGAGTCTACCATCCTAAATGATGATGGAGCTCAAAGTTTCAAACAAAAAAGGTGGAAATCTGATCTTCCACCTCCAAAGGCAGTTCCCAGTTCTTCAAGCTCGCAATCTGAGGAAGACGATGAGCCAGATCAGACGAGAGGAGGGGAACACAGAGCAATCTCTGAGCCTCAGCCTGAAGCTAGACCAACACCCATTGTGTCCAAAGAAAAGGCAGGGTCCACTACATCATCATCATACATTTCTACACCCAAAACATATCCCCAGCCGGCATCAAATGCAAGCGCTTGGTCTCAGCCCAAGAACTCTGAATCTGTACCCACTGTTAGACCGAGCGGGCATCTCAGGCAGACGGCTCCAACGCAAAATGGAAGAAATGAATCCAGAAAGGTTACAGAAAAGAATGCGAAACGGAGCAAAAGGTTTTCAGAGAAGATGCACAGAGAACAACAGAGGGAAAGGGATGAAGAGGAACATGTTGATGAGGATAATGAAGAGGAGGAAGAGGAGGGGGATTGGAGTGCTGAATCTTACTGGAGAGCCAGAGCCTGGAATGATTACTACGCCTCCATGTCTCCTTTCCAAGAGCAAGGTTACCAAAGCTACTACAGTGAAGCCCACAACTGGATGGCAGCCTATCGTATGAATGCTGTCTACATGGAGGAACTCCTAAAAGACTGACATTTATATTCTGCTTATCAGGACATTTAATCTTACTGTTTTCAAATGTAAAAATGTGTCTGAATGTCCCCTGTAGAATAATTATTTAAATGTTTGCTCTTCTGTTCCAACAAGTTGCACTTCAAATTGTTGACTCTTTTTTTTTTAGTAAATCCATACCCTAAACTGTATGCTCCAAATACTTTTCCAATAAACTACCATTATGTATCATGTATTTCAATATCCTCTTCTTCATGTTTACATGCTGTGCTTATTACGATATAGTATGATTTATCTTCTTCTGACTTTAGACTACAGAGCATCCGCATCACCTGCCCTAATCAAACTTGGTGTTTAAAGAGGAAGGTCAAGGAGAGGCTAAAAACTGCAATCTACTTGCGTGGCTCTTCAGCTGAGCATGGCAAGGTTGGGCCACTCCACTTGCTCCTGATTACAGACTAATCAACTGTGACCATTCAACCAATCAGTGCTGGGCAAAATAAATACTTTTAAGGGTGTTTGCCTAACTCCATTTTGCCATCTGTAGCGTTTATGAATCTTCATTGTAGAGCAAGGTGGATAGCTGTTTTACTCGCTGAGCTGCAGGCCACTGATGTGGACTACAACCAGGATGTGGTTAGGATGAACCAAAGAGCTGTTTATAGACTCCATAAGAGGGAGCGCCAAACGGAGATGAAAATATGGATTTACACACTTTCTGGAACGAAACAACCGCGCACAATGAGACTGACGTGCATACAATGTTTTTTATTTTTAACTGCATAGTCTTAACTTTAACATTGGTTTTGGGAACACCCGGAAACTTGTGGGTTTGTTGGGTAGTTTACAGGACCAAGAGCCTACAGACTTTTAATAACGCGCTGCTGGTCAGCTTGGCGGTCAGTGACCTCCTGAAATGCTCAGTGGACACCCCTCTGCTGCTCTTTTGTCTGCAGTACGGGAAGAGCAGCCAGGTGTCTGTGTCGGTGTGCACCCTGCAGCAGTTCACCTATGCCCTGTGCAGCTGCGTCCAGCTGCTCACGCTGGTCAGCATCAGCGTTGAGCGCTACCAAGCCATCGCGTTTCCTTTCCAAACCGAGAGGAGGAAAGCCAGGGTCCGGCTGTGGATCCTGTCCATCTGGGCATGCGGCCTCCTGCTGGCTATAATCTCTCTGATCCTTTCCAAAGATGCGCTGTTTTGCATGCTGTGCCGTCGGAACCACGGGGATAATGGGGACGAGTGGCTTCAAAATGCGGATCCATTTGGCCCCTACGTGCTGGTTCCCGTATGGGGGTTGTCTCTTACTGTGATTGTTATCCACTACATCCGGATATTCACAGTTGTAAGGCAGCACCGAAAGAAAGTGTTCAGTCAGGGAATCCAGCTGAGGCCAACAGTGTCAAAACACGTGTGGCTGGATGTCCCGGCCCCGGTACCACGGACAGTTCCGCCGGGCTTCTTCAGCCCTCTGCCCCCCCGCCACACGGTGCTCCTGGTGGCCGAAGCAAGGGCTCCCTGTGCGGGCTCGTCCACAGAAGGCGCCCCAGGGAGACTTCCGGAGATCGTGGGGGCAGTGTGTCTCCTGACACCCGGGGCCAGGGAGCGTAGGAAGAAAAAGATGGAGGGGAAACTGGCTCAGCGTTTTGGGTACATAATCATTGCGTTCACACTTTTCTGGATGCCCATGCTGGTTATTTTGCTTATGAACGTCGTCTCGTGGCAGGATGCGGACAAAGTGAGTGCAGTAGATTTTCTCATTACTGCGTTTCTCCATTCAATATTTAAATACAACACAATTCATGTTCAGTGTGACTCAAGCAATTATGTGTGGGGGCTCTGTGTCAACCTTTTTTTTTTGTATACATTAGACATACTTTGACTTTCATGATTCATGATATCTTTGACATACTTTACTGGGACTTCTCTTTTCATAATTTTTTGACATACTAAATAATGACTTTTCCCCGATATCTTCGACATACTATATGATGAATTGTTTCAAGATATTTTAGAGGCTTTTTGTTCAAATGTTTTAAATACTTTTCTATATTTTTTTCGAAATATAATATAATTGTATTATAATTTCCACATACTGTACTATGAATTTTTTAGACGTCATTACATTTTCCACAAACTATCTTAAAACATTTGACAATTTTTGTGTCATACTATAGTGACGCATACAATGATTTTCAATGTACTATAGTACATTTTCTTTTTCAGTACTTTTTCACATATAAAGAAAAGAAAAGTAGACTTTGACTTTTGGACATTCTATACTATGACTATTTTAATGATATCTTCGAGAGACTATATGACATTTTTCATAATTTTTCAAAAGACTATAGTATGACTTTTTCACAATATTCACTAAATATATAATGGTACTTTCTTTTACAATTTTTTGAAAATACTATACTATGACTATTGTTTCAATATACTATTCCACAACTTTTTGTTCATACTTTTTCGACATACAATACTATGACTATTATTATTATTTTTAATTTTAAAGAATATTATGACTTTCATGATTTTTTAAATATTTTACTATGACTTATTTTACATACTATACCATGCCCTTTGTACAAAATTTTGACATGCTATTCTATGACTTTTTTCCTATTATTTTATAATATACATAATAATAGTAAAATAACTTTTTCAACTTAAATTAAACTTAGCTGACATACTATGCTATTTTCAATGTTGATGACACAGTAGACACACAACAGGGAGACTTCAACATATATTTATAGTTACAACAAAATGCATAAAAGAACACGTTTGAAACATTTCCATCCAGATCTATTAGGTTTAAATGGACTTACGTGTCTTCTGTTCCCTCCTTAGTGAACAATGTTGTAATTTTGGAAATTCGCATGTGTTAATGGACGTGAGCAAATGCAACGCAAGTTTTGAGCGGATAATGTTACCAACACATCACATTACACACACACCCCTTTGCTTATGTGCCTCAAGTGGGGTTTGAACCCCCTGTCTCCATGATGTCAGTCAGCATCCTTCCCCCACTGGACCATCTTCAATATACCAGACAGAAGAACATAAAACTGAAGCTAGGAAACTTTATTAATGTGCAGAGAAACACAGATTTCACACTTGATATATAAAACATGATCAAATTGAAACAGATTTACAATGAAACCCGTTAATTAATATTCAAAAGTCTGACTGTTTGTTTGAGACTCAGCCTGACCCACATCCTCTGATAGCTCAGTGGGTATAGGGAATAAGACTTTTTTATATTTCTTATGGCAAACTATACTATGACTTTTTTAATGAACCTTTTATGGCACACTATAATTTGAAAATGTAAACATTTGAAATGAAATGTCTCATAACATATTATACTCTGACCTGTTGTGATACTGTGTATTTTGTATACATTTGTTTTAAGGCTCAATATTCTATGACATTTTGAACTTTCAACCTACTTTTTATACCATACCATTTAAAAGAAAAAGTTATTCTAGAAACTTCTGGTTATCCATGCTTGGCAAATGAGGGGTGATTTTGATTGAACACACATTTGTAGCATTGACAGTAGATAGTGCTTCACATATGGATGTTGTCTCAAAGAAGTACAAATTGTAAAGCGTGAAGTTGACCTTTACCTTATAGAAATGATATGTCATTTTGGAACACCAACTTCTAATCAATTCATCCTTGAGTCCAAGTTGAAGATGCTGCTAAATGTGAAGACATTTACTCAAGGAGTCTCTGAGATATTGCATTCAAAAGGGCCAGACAGGAAACCTGATGAAAACAAAAACTAAACACGAATACCGCGGGCGTGGTCGCATAAAAAAAACAAAACATTGAACATTCATTCAAATAATATTTTGGGCTCTGGATCATACTGGAGTTGTCCTGCTGGTACAATTTGGAATGGTATTTTATTTGGTATTATGTTAAGCTCTCCTGTTTTTCCGCAGTTGATGATGGAGCTGGAGACATCAGCGATGGTGCTGACCTGTGTGCAGGCTGCAGTGGATCCCCTCATCTACACTTTAGTCACCAGACAGTTTCGCTCTGAACTCAGCAAGATCCTCTCCTCCATCCCAAGGTGTCCCCAAAAACAGAGGGCCTGAAGATGTAATCCTTTATGAACATTGTGGTCACATGTATTGCACTTTTGGGACATAAAAACACAAAGAGAGCAAAAATATGCATAACCTGCTACCTTTTTTTACACACACACTGATTTGGAGGCAGGTGAAGAAGAGAGCCCACAGATTTTGTATTTGTGGCAGATATAGATGTTTTATCAGGCGTTTCACAGTCGAGACACAAGACAAGGTCATAAATAATATCCAACACCTGACAAGATACGCACAGCAGTAGTCTCAACAACGACATGTGGCATAGGAGGGCAAAGCAAAGAGGAAAACTGACTGAGCCCAGAAAAAAAAGAGTACATAACAGTGAAAGAGAGACAAACACAATCAAAGACCTCTGTTTTTGTTGTTTGTAAATCGAAATGCAATCACTTGACACTTAGAGCGGAAATATGCTAACATAATAATTCAAACGGTGTCATTTGAAAGTGCAGCCGACACAAAATAGCCTGTTTTGTACCTGGAAGCAGTAAATAACACATTTGATCACTGTCCTAGCAACAAACAATACAGGGAACCTCATTTCTGCTATTCCCTATGTCATACCCTTGGTGTAGTTTTCGATATTTTCTAAATGTCAGACTTGATGCTGTGAATATGAAGTCAATGTCTTGAACCCCTCTTTTACAATTACAGTGAAAAAGCTCTGTGTGTCTGTGCTTGTCTTCTTTTTTTTCCAAGGTAAATTTGTGGACAGATTGACTACACTCTATAAATGGATCTAGGCAGCTGGTGTCACTGTTTCAGTAATAAAATGACCAGCAATAGTACTAGTTCTCTCATAGGAATATCAGAGGTTGATGTAGAATATGTTTGGCTTCTTTTGGGGGGGGGGGGGGTACTAACATCTGGATCAGAGGGAACTAAAGCACAACAGTAGTCTAAGGGACCTCAGGGTCTCTTGTAGTTATGCACTGATAGGCTACCAATTATGCTATATAATTTCACCCATATTGTCTAATATTTATATAACTAAATGTCTTTTTTGTAAGTCTTAGTACAAATGCATGTATCAAATTGCTTAAGCTTTTGAGATGGCTCCATATTAAGATAATTAAATACATTTTTCAAAAGATCATTATACATTTTGCTGCTAGTTTGACAGTTTTTAGTCTACTTAAACAAAAAACAAACAGAAATGTTTGACAACAGCTACATGTGGGCAGACATAATATTGGACCAATTCCTGTATTGCTTTTTGAAATATGCTCTTGGCTGTTATGGAAAATATGCTCTTATATTAATGCATTTCTAGCCCTGTCTGTGTGCTCTTGGTTAACATTTGATTTCATCTATGCGGAGCAGTGGGGGCTTAGTCTGCTGTGACTGAAGCTGCTCCACCCGGCCTTGGAGAAACCACACCAGTGATATCATCCACCTAAAACCAGACCTAACTGTCTGTGTAGCTTCTGAATGACATTCAAGATAAAAAAAAAAGCCAACAGGAAGGTACCAGATAGCAGGTTAGCAGAAAAAAACGTCACCGTCCATATTTACAAAGATCAACTTTGATAGGATTTGATGACGGGTAATTCTAAAGTTAAATGTTTGGGCTGTGAGTCGAGAGAACAGACAGAATAGCAAATGTTTTTGGTGGCAGAGATCTGTGGATGGCTCATCCTGTGTCCTCTGTGTCTCTGTTACAACAGGCGTTCCTGTTTTCAGTTATCCAGAAGAGAAAGTAAATACAATCCTTTGAAACACCAAGGAGGACAAAAAGTACAAACACCAAGTTTCCTAACCACATAGAGTACACATACTCAACAACTTTGAAAAATGCCTGCTGAGTTTAGGGAAGAAAGAACGTTGACAGCTATAAAGACTATTGAAAGCATACTGTTGTTCACACAGGAGGTAAGGATACAACAGGACAACAACGAGAAAGAGTGAGAGAGGAAAAGAGAAAGACAGACTGAGGGAGAGAGAGAAAGAGAACAAGAAGACAGCTTCACTGGTTCTGCCAAACAATGGTCAAATATTACAAAATATTCTATTAACAATATTCACAAAGAACCTGGGCACAGGACACATTCGTATCAGAAATTCTCAGCAAACGCCTTGTGCTTTTATTAGAAGTGATTTTAATTCAAAATGTACTTTGTTTTTGGTTTCTTTGTTAGAGAATTTAGTTAGTTGAGGTCTGTAGGGCTGTAGCAGCCAACATGGAGAACGTAAATAATGGGGAAGGGGGGGGGGGGAATTCACAAAACTATAAAACAAATACATCTCTTTTTACTCCAGCAACAGGCACATTTTGTGTAAAAGGCTTGTAGCTGAGAATTTCGGAAATAAATGTGTACAATGGACCCTTCAGAATGGCAGCTAATCAAATATACCATATACTGAGCCATAGAGATTTCCAGAAGAATTGAAACACAAGTTCAATCAACTGAGACAAACACAGTCTCACACACGCACACGCACACTCACAAACACACACACACTCACAGGCACATGTGCCTTCTATCCAAAACATCACAATTCCTCTATCTAGCAAAAAGTCAAATACACTCATTCACAAATATGAAACTCATTGGTAACGCCATCACAGACCACCACCTACCATATTTCTTCTTTTAAAGGATTTTTACTCAGGTGGAATAATTTTGGACCTGAAAAGGAATATTTATCTTATCTATCTAACAGGTGAGTGGACCAAAATGAATAAAGAAAATAGGGCAAGGTTAAATCTGTGGAAAAAAGCTTTGATAAAGTATAATTTGTTCTTATATATATATATATATCTCCTGCTAAAAATAGACCATGAGTCAAACTGAAGCAGAAATCATAAAAAGGTGCTGTGTGCACAGTGACATGCCTTGCCCACCTCCGACACTTGGGAGACACGCTCTCACACGTCTCCATACACATTTTCACCTCTCTTTCACCCACACATACACGCACACACACATGCGTGCCAACCAATGACATGAATACACTGTATCTAAAAGCAGTCCTCTGTGTGTTCAGGCAGTCCATGTCGTTACAGTACATGATCAGCAGAGGGCAGGCTCCACCACGGCCAAACTTGGACTCTGAATGCCTTTCCTCCATCGCTCCCAGTCCTCCTCTGTCCTCCTCTGTCCCTCAGTCTGTCTCAATGAGTCTTTGTAATGTCTTTCTATGTGAGGCTCCTGCACTCTAGTCTTCACAGTGTGGACACCTTCACAACGTTCTGGTGGGTCAGATCGCCATCAGGAGTCGTCACTGGCGGTGTGGGAATGCTGATTATGGCTGTGGTGATCTGGTTGCTCTGGCAGTTCAGGGAGGCTGGCTCGTCTACTCGCATGTTCAGACTGGAGCGGCTACAGGAGGATGAAAAAGAAAGGATAGTTTCTCTATGTTGAAACCTATTGGTTCATGTCCGAGATAAGTAGGAAAAAAGGACAATAGAAACCCTTCTGTTACCCCTTTTTAACTGAAAGCACAACTCTTAATTTGCCACTGCAGTGAATGGGTCCTCATGTTTTATGGAGCTTTAAATAAACCCAGGTGTTAATGTGAAATTGGTGATTGTAGCGTTAAACCAATTCAGAATCAACACCTCACTCTGCTCTTCATAGCTCTTAGCTGCTAATGAAACTCTGATCAGTTGTGTTCTTTAAATAAGCTTAGAAACAACGGAGAGCCTTAGCAACAATTATCCTTGCACTTGGACACATCTGAATGTATTCTTTTAAGTAAGGGACATAACCAGTTTTCTCTTGAATTCAAACTAAGATGAAGGGGAGCTTGTTCTGTTTCTTAAATTCAGGAGACAACTAAGAAGAACACAATATAAGCTTCAAAAAGCAAAGGACAAACTAATGAGGGTTGTCTAACTTTTAATCCACAAACGCTTATTAGCAAAAAACATTTTGAAAATTCAATTGGCTTCCTGTTGAAGGTAAAGTGCCACATTAAAAACTAATAATGGTCTTCAATAGTTTACAAGGTCTTTGTGCAAATTATTTCCCTGGGTATATTCAGATTGTTTGGGATCTCATGGCTGGTGTATCTAACCTGAAACAACCCCTTCTAAAAAGTGAAGTAGGGAGAAGAACAGTGGGAGGAGGAGCGGAATAATATTTCGAGGTAATTAATATTCCCATTCTCTGAAAAGAAAAACAGCTGAACAAATGGATGCTGAGTCAAAATGGTAAAATACACTATTCTGGAATTTTGGGTAGTAGTAGCATGTCATATTTTGTTTCCAGAATATCTTCATGGGCACACTAGAGAGTAAACAACTCTTTATGGAACATCGCAATTGTAATTTACAGTATTTTTATAGTAGTAAAGATAGTACTAGCATGTACATGTCAGCCACTCTTCATTTGCTTCTTAGTAAACACATTTTTTAAAATCCTATTTAGTTTCCAGATTATCTTCATGGGCACACGAGAGAGTGAACAACTCTTTATTGGCACAATTGTGATTTACAGTATATATCTGAGTAACAGTAACAAAGTGTGGATTTCATGTCATAGATCACTTGAACATCATTGAGTTAAAGTAGTCAAAGTAGTAAAAGGTAGTAGTGCTTGCCCTGTCCCCTGATGGCCGGGCTCACCTGGTGCTGAGGGGCCGGATGTGGATGGTGCTGAGCTCCTGCAGGCCTTGTTGATGTGTGTGTTTGTGTGTCAGAGGCTGCATGAGCGCAGGGGTACTGGCGTTCTGTAAAGGGGTGTGGTGCTTCTTGCTTCGGCGGCTGCAGCAGGTGCCCGTCACGCCATCTTGGCTGGAGAGGGAGGGGCTTCGAGAAGGGTAGTTCTGAAGCCCCGCCTCCAGGTAGCTCTGCTGGTAATACTGCTCGTCCACAAACTCATGATTCTGACGAAGAAAGAGAGAGAGAGATTTATGACCATGTAGTGTATATGACTTGATATAGCTTCAAAGCCTTTCTGCTTCAAAGCATGGGTCAAAAACTCTTCTGACAATGTGTGATTATTTCTTATAAAGGCATATGTGGTTGGACCAAATCAAATATATTTTTGTGTATTGGAGCTCAGAATCAATTTTCCATGGACAGTTTCTCAAAGCAGCTACAATCTCTACTTTAATATCAACAATGGATCATGACTACTTGAAGGAGACATGTGTTGCTCCTAGCAATGAACCAACAAATAATTATTGACTATTAAATATACACAAACACGACTTTTAAGAATTGATGTTGCTCCTCTGCTCAATGATTGAATAAGCAGATAATATTACTCCAGCATTGTGTTGGCAGCTGCTTTCAGCTGCCCTCAAGTGTACAAAATAAATCATTTATTCCAGGTTTAACTTTACTCTCATGCTCCATTTTAATCAAATATACCATGTTGACAGTGTGTGTGTGTGTGTGTGTGCGTGCGTGCGTGTGTGTGTACAGCAGAATATGATTGGTTCTTTTGTTTGCTCAGCTCTGAGTTTGGCCAGGCTGAAACAGACAGTGTGTTTCGTACCACATACAGGCACACAGGTGTGTATCATAAAAGGCAGTGTACCGGACATCACGCTACAGTGGGCTGCAGTCGCCCGTGCACGTACACATATATAAATAACATTAAGCATGGCTGTCAGTTATACAGTATGCAACTAATGAGCCAGCGCTATGCAATAAAAAACGTGATTATCGCACAATCTAGGAACATTTTTAGTTCATGTGTTTGATGCTAAAACAAAAACAAAGGTTGTTTAGATTAGATTTATTGCTAATGGAGATCTTTTTTACACTAAAAGGTTGAATGTGTGTCTGTGTGTGAGTGTGTGTACGGTGTGTGTACACTCACGGTGGTTTTCTCCAGACAGTGCAGCAGGTGGTGGTGCTGGCTCTCTAGTAGAGAGGTGGACTTGGTTAACTGCTGCTCCTCCTCAGTGGAACTCTGCAGCAAACACACATAAAATAAGTGTAATACAACTGTTTTATTTTGTATCAGATGTGGTGGGGGGATGCACAGCTGGCTGCTGTCTTAAGTACCTGTTCTGAAAGGTTCATCTTGTATGGAAGTTGCTTCATTGGAAAAGGAGACAAAAGAAACACACAGGTAGAGTTTTACTGATGGTCACAGTTAGCACTGAGAACAGACAGCGGTCAGGGCCGCAGTGCTGCCAGTGAGACACGGGAAACATTACTATTCTGACCCCCAGAGGCTTGTCTGCTAACATTAGTGGAGCCAGTGCATTGATCTGTGCTGCAAGTGAGACATCTCGCACAACTCACTCCTAGTGCATATACAGTACATATCAAAAATTCCATCGTGACATTTCGCCTCCATTCCTGTTATTGCAAGGGCTGGCTACAGGCAGCTCCATAATGACTTGTTTTCCATATTCATTCTTTTCTATGCCGTGGCCTGTTTATGTATTTATTTGTGTGGGTATCTGGGCGTGAAGTGGGCGCCTTTGCCTAGTTCTGTGGGGGTTTGGATACGAAGCTCATTTTAGCGGGGAGCTGAGACGGGGAATAAGTGGACTGCTGGGGTGCATCGTGGATCATTGAAGAAAGTGAAGAAAAAGACAAAACAACAAACTCTGCAGTTCATTGCTTTTTTTGTCAGTACAGTATTTATTTTATTGTTATATTAGTTAATACTTTGACTGTCAATTCTTTAGGACTTTGAAAAAAAATGCTTGCTCTGTGCCCAAAATAAAGATCATATTGAAGAAACATGAACAAAAATATGATTTAAGGCTTTTATCTTATGTGCTGTTTGTTAAGTAATACTTTGATCAAATTCCTTTTTAATTGATATTACACAGAATATTATTATATATATATATATATTTTGGGAAGAGCTAATAGACAAACACTGGCCACGGTAGCCTTAGTTTGAGCCTAGGAATATTTCTCCCCAGTATACTGCAGAATGCCATCATTGTTCTTGTCAGAAGTAAAGCAATGTTTCACATATACAAACTTTCAATATGTTGCATCAGTCTTCCCAAGCAGAACCTGTGGTTGAGCTGTTTATATACAAACTACTGCCCTGATCCTGCATGCTCCACAGGATTCCCGTAAGGAAAGTAAAATGCCATGTTTGGAAGATTGGTAGTAGCAATTTTCAGTTTGTTAAGAGGGGCGGCCGGCGTTGCAAGCAGAAGCTTCTTTGCTGATTTCAGAGCTGATGTCTCGGTTTGTCTTTGCCAAGATGCTCACCTGTTTTCACGCTGTTTATCTGTACCTAACACAGCAGTAAAACACAGGTGTTTACCCTGAGTTATTCCTGTCTTTCTCTAAACATGCGACCTAGCCCAGATCAGCAGTCTGTCTGGAGGCGGCGATGGCTCACCACCCAGGTGGCCACCATACTGTAGAGGCTGGAAACAGCTTGATCTGCTGAGCGACAAAACACACTGTGTCACTCTGCATGGTGCTGTACATGTTGCTGGTAAATAGCTGCCTCAGAATTATACTTAACTTGGGCAACAGTTCATATTTTATTGAGCAGGCATTAATATTTAAATTAGTTGTTAACTGTTGACTTTTGGCAGCTAGTCTTGCAGTCCCTAGCAGCACTGGAACTCCAGTCGACACCAACGCAAATGAATGAGATGGAAAGACACATAATATATTGAATAAATAACTATCTATTAAAGTAAGTAAAGGTCTTGAAGTACTCATAATGTTGCACTTGCATGCTGCTAAAGAAAAAGCAATGCTTGTTAGTGAAGGGATGAAACTACTTCAACAAGAACACACTGAAGAGGTTCATGCATTGCTCTATAGAGTAATGAAGTTCCCCATATTATCTGATCATTAATTTGTGAAATTGGCATCCCTATAATGAAGTGTGCACTCTACAAGATATAAACCTTTAAAAAACAATAGAATTCTCGTACTATAATATATATATGGATCTTAATCGAGTCTTTCCTGACAGTTTACCATATAATTGTTGTGTAAAGAAGTAATTTAAGTAAAGCAACATTTATTAGATACTTTGCAGGCAAGCTTTACAATTAGCTTCCAGCCTCTGCAGCATATTGTCTTTTAAGGAAATCAATAGGATTGCAATACTTAACCCTATCTTAAGTTCAAGCACCAGTGCCATTCAGATGTTGTCCTAACTTATGCTTTGGAAGACAGAGACACATTTAGATAGAGGTAGAAGGAGATGGGAGCACTTGTTTTTGTTGTTGCGCTGTCAGCCGTGGGCCACTACGGTGCTTGTGAACCGCAACATTTTGGTGAGGCAAAGAACATCATTGAGTTGTGTTTACATTTCCTGCTGCATCGCCTGAAGCATGTTCCTCAGCTGGGCAGCTGGGCTCAGAGATGCTCACATCAGAAGCTCTGCTTATTGAATAAGATCACAGTTAGCTGCTCAGATGGGAAGCTGGCTGCTTTCTAAGAATCCCAGATTAAAGGACGGGCAACCCAGGCCTGCATCCAATGACTTAGTTATTGCCCGCTTAGAAATCCTCAGAACTGTTGTTCCAAGGAGTCGCAGTGGGCAAGCTATCTGAATCGTAAATGAAAAAAATGTAAATTAGGTCAAATGTGGTTGGTTAATGCTGAGGAAAACTGCTATGAGAAACAAGTGAAGCATGCTGTCTGACATGCAGGGGCTGGTCTTACCGTGAACTCCAGAGCTTCGTTGAACAGGCCATTGCGTTTGCTATGGAGGAAGGCATTGGAGGTTCCTGTCTTGGCTATTCGTATCCTCGCCAAACGTGCTTTCTGCAAAGAGCAAGAGACCAAAAGAATCACATGTTAGTCAGTGCCTCGACAACATCCTATGTGAGAAGGATTGGGTATAACCAGACACATTCCACTAACTTGAGCTACAGCACTTTCTTTTCTTTTTTAAACTTAAAAGGTCAAATTACACACAAACAGAGAGAACAGTGCCTGTACGGAGACGATCTACATAGTAATCAAATATTGCTTGGTTTTTTATGACTCCTTTGTTATGTACCTTAACCATTTTCCCCAGCCCTTAAGAAATGTGTCTTCTTACTTTCAACTTGTATGTGATTTTCTCCATTATTAGGATATCACCAATAATATGAACCCATTGTCTGTAGCTTGGTGTTTCTGCCTTTAGCCAGTTTTTAGCCTTCTTTCCAGCAGCTAGGAGGATCTTGATCAGGTATTGATCTCCGACATGTACAGATCCTTCCATATGTCCCAGGTATAATACCAAAGGGATTCTATAGCCTAATACCTTGCATATAACAGAGTGTACACAGTCCTAGAAAGGTTACATTTGACTGCAGCTCCAAAACACATGTGTATGGTGAGGTTCCAGATGTTTACAAAGTCTCCAGCTTGATTGTTGAGTGTTTGTTTGTTTACTACTGATTTTGGGTGTGTAAAAGAAATGAATTAGGTTTTTCCACAGAAATTCTCTCCATCCGTGTGACTGAGCTACAGCACTTTCACATGCTTAATGTCTTAGTTGTGTCTTATAGATCAAATGAAACATGTGCTACTAAAGCATTCACTCTGATCTCCTGTGATAAATTCACTCTGATCTCCTCGGATAGTAATGAATGATTTATGGTGACTACACGATAACACAGTCCTTGGGTTGAAACACAGTTGGAGAGGAATCTCGGACTAAACCCTGTGTGAATTAAGCAGCTATGTTTCCTTCTGCATTTAAATATTACATTTATTTGGAGTCCTATTTGTGCTGGTTTGACAGCGCCTTCGTTTATCAAAATATATCAAGATAGTGTATTGGTAGTGTCGTTTTGAATGCCTCTTTTGTCATAAGACCCGTGCAGCTCGGTTAGTGCAGAGTCCAGACGCTTTTCTCTCCTTATCTCTTTCTCTCACGCTGTCAAATCTCTCCTTTGAGGCAGTGAGCAACAGAGCTGAACACGAAGAAGAAAAGGAATAGGAAGGAGAACAGATACAGTCTGGTCCTTGGAGTGATTTCTTTATGCATCAGTAGCTTTGAAACCGTGGAAGGATTGTACTCCAACGTCCTGGTTTTAGCTCTCCCCGAAGTGCACTGTGCCTTACTAAATGTGTGTGTGAAAACATGTCTGCGTGAGTGCACATTCATTGTGTGCGCAGGCCGGTGTGTGATAAATGTGGGTCTCAATAAATCTCTCAGTAACCAGAACAACTGCTTTTACAGGATAGTGTAATCTGAGTCACTCAGTCCTCAAAGGCCCGCCATTTTCCTGTCAAAGTCGAGCGCTGGGTGTCATGCTGGCTTCAGTTACAAAGTGTGTGTGTTTCTGTTGCTTCACTTCCTGCATTTTAAAATAGAATGAGGGATTCATTGAGGGGAAATTGGAAGAAGGATAATGTGAGCTGTTTAAATGATGAGCATAGAGAGAGCTCTTTAGTAGGGGGCCCATACACAGCTAGCGGGGGTTAATTGAGTGTGTGGATTTGTGTTTGCATATCTCTATGGGTGCTTATGCATGCACGCCTCGTCTTCATAGAGGAATTTCCATACATTTTCTTACGAGGCCTATAGAATAACAGCAGAAATACCTAGCTCAGTACGAGTATGGTAATGTATGGTAATGTAAGCTCATCCCTCACTTGAGTTTCATTTAAAACATGGTAATGTTTGTTGACCTGCAGGTAGCTCATGCTGTGATTTTGTAATCTAAAAAGAGACAGAGATAAACAGGACACACACACACACACAGCAGCCAATCTAAAATGTAGCATCTATTGCAAAATCCCAACTACCTTCAAAGTGTTTACCTGTTCCTGCACCTTTATCTTTGTGTCTCTTTCACCCCCCCCTCCAGCTCTCCTTAACAAGTTTACCTCGCTGTCTGTGTGCCCTCACACTCTAACATCCCTGTACCTTTTTATCGCTGGCACAGCATTCCCACAATCCTTTGGGATAACCGCTTTGTAAGTTCTGGCATTTTGCTTAGCCAATGAGATTGTTTCTCCGGGGTCACTATGTAAACAGCAGCCCGTGACTGTGGCGATGGTTGCCAGGCAGTGCGGGGGTAATGAAGGAGATGTTACGAACATGTCCCGCAAGATTGAATCTACTCCCGCAGTTCTCTGATAGATTCCCGGGGCCTTTGGGATCCGATAGCTTGTGTCTAAGGCCCATCTGTGCTTTCAGGCAGAGCCACGGCACGACAGATTGAGCCTGGATTGTTGCGGAAGCATCATTGAGAGCACACAGGAGTGTAAGGAAACCATGGACAAGGGGCTTACCTCAACACATACTCAGAATACAATGAGGAACCATGGCCAAAACGAGTATCTGCTGCACATTCCTTCAGAGTGACACATAGTCACACAAACACCATATATCCTGGCACACATTCACACAGTGTGAAAATCTGAGTGTTTTGCTCTTGTATAAGAAATTGTAATAAGAAAAAGAAATGCTTTCTCAGAACAAGGACAGTATTTCCACCTTACATCATTATAAAAGACCCCCATCACCCCAGCCACACACTGTTCTGTCTGCTGCCGACTGGCAGGCGCTACCGCAGCATCCGGACTAAAACCACCAGACTCAGGGACAGTTTCATCCCACAGGCAATAAGACTGTTAAACACCTGAACTGTTGAAGCAAAATCTGTTAAACACTTGAACTGTTGAAACATCCTTAATATTCATCTGGCTGCTACTTAGAAATTATTTATCTATTTACCTAATATATCATATTCCAATAACTTGCTTATAAACTCTTATTGCACTATTTCACTTTTTTAAACTATTTTTCTTTTTGTATTTACTATTTACTATATATGCACTATATTTGTCTGTTTATCTGTGTTTTGTGTTGCACTGTTGGAGAAGCCTGTGACCTAAGATTTATTTTCTTCGGCATAACTACACTGTAGCTATGTTCGTATGACTAAACAAAGAACCTTGAACGTTGAACAGCGTATACTTTAGTAGTCATAGGTTCACAATAAGCTGCCATAAAACAGACAATTCAGCATGAGGTGTTTGTTAGTTAAATATACTTTCTATGAAAATCTGTCTGTGGTCGCTCCAAATTACCATGGTTAGAACTTTTTATAGGGTCTTGTTCATTCATGGACAGTTATTTGTGGGAGGCTGCTGTTTTGCTTTTCAGAAATGTCACTGTTTGCCTACTGCTGATCCTTCATGGAAATACTCTGCTCACCAAGGTCTCAAATGAAGCAATTTGATTGGCTGGTAGGAAAGAAGTTCCCGTTCTACATATATGGAGAACTAAATAATTGATATAAAACATGGGGGGCTATCATGCAAACTAATTCCAGATGGACTTTAAAGCAAATAACATGGAAAATATACCTTTTAAAAATCCTGAATCCTTAAAACACCTGCCAACCAATCAGAACAGTGATACTCATTATCACTGATTAAGATAATGCACACACCAAACGCTGAAAACTGTCCTTCTTCCTGCCATGGAACCATGATTTAGTATCAATCAGACTTTAAAGATTATAGCTATGGAGTGTGCAAGCCAGCACACAAGCTTAATTTTAACACTTTTGCTGCCAGTTCAGGAATAAAAACCATCTCCTTAAAAAGTTGAAGTAACTTAGCTCCCACGCCTTAATCTGCTGAGCATTGAAAGTTTTGTTAGAAGCTCATTTCTTAGTTAAAAGTGAAAGTTAAAATATTCATGGCACCTTGAGTTACAGCTTCACAAGGCTGCCTGTAAAGGATCTGGCTGAGTGAAAAGTGGAGCAATCGAGCTGTGAGACCAGATTAGGTTCTGCCTCGGGGCTCGTTTGGAAGCATACAAGTGGATGAGGAGACCATCTGACGAGGACACACACACACACACACACACACACACACACACACACACACACACACACACACACACACACACACACACACACACACACACACACACACACACACACACACACACACACACACACACACACACACACACACACACACACACACACACACACACACACACACACACACACACACACACACACACACACACACACACACACACACACACACACACACACACACACACACAACATGAGGGTCAGAGAGAGATATTTGGGGGAACCAATCCATCTGGGAGTCGGAGAAGGCAGAAAACTCCACTTTGGCTATAATTGATTCAGTTGAAATCGACACCTCTGTTCCACAGATATCTTCCTCTGTAGCAAAAACAGCTTAACCTGGGACCAACACCATTCAGAGACACGGAAATACCTTAGCAAAGCCTGGATTACCTCCTCTTTATAGAGAACAGAAAGGTTAACTCTGCTCTCTGTGTGTTTAGGATGTTTATTCTTTATTTTTACTATGGATAATTTATAACAGAGCTCTAGACTCCCTCTCTGTGAGGTCCCCTGTCAACATCCTGTCAACTCTCTTTTGGTCTGCATCCAAAGTGATGACAACTTTATTGATTGTCTAGAAAGGAAAAAGACTCAGCCAGAAGTTATCTCCACCTTTTGACTCCCTTCTGAGGAAGTGCTGAAAACAATTGTGAGATGATATAAAGCAAACGGAGTGAAACTGAGAGGAAGGGACAAAGTGAGGAGGACTTGTTTTTGTTTTGTTTCTGCAATGGCAGCCCCGAGCCAATGTAATGCTCAAGAAATGCACCAGGCAGTCATTTCACTTTTCACAAAGTTTGAGGACAACAAATGGTCGAGCCAGAGAATGAGTTCCAGTCCAAGTGGGAAAAAGACAAAGCAGGAATATAAAGTGAGCAAGTGAATTCTCACAGAAGCAGGAACTATAACGGGAAACAATGAGAG